TGTATAGAACAGAGACTTGTGGACTCTGGGAGAAGGCGAGGGTGGGATGTTTCAAGAGAACAGCATCGAAACATGTATATTATCTAGGGTGAAACAGATCACCAGCCCAGGTTGGATGCATGAGACAAGTGCTCGGGCCTGGTGCACTGGGAAGACCCAGAGGGATGGGGTGGAGAGGGAGGTGGGAGGGGGGACTGGGATGGGGAATACATGTAAATCCATGGCTAATTCATTTCAGTGTATGACAAAAACCACTGCAATGTTGTAAAGTAATTAGCCTCCAACTAATAAAAATAAATGGAAAAAAAAAAAAAAAACCCTGATCACGCCTTGGGCTAAAACAAAATCATGTAACAGGCCATAAAATCCCACCATTAAGCCATCCTGTAAGGTACTAACCCTTATGAAGTGAAGCCCCAGGACGCAGGAAAGCACTGAGTGCCGTTAGGTGTGGATCCTACTTCACTTCTCTCAGATCCATCACTGAGAAGCCAACATATAGGATGTGGCTCAGGACCCTCAGTTTTAAAGTTTTTGTTCTTTTCTTCCCCCATCTTTTGAAGAAAGTGGTGATAATACCTCATGGATAATTTATACATTCACGTTATTATCATATTTCTATAGCTTTATTTTACCTAATGACTTATAAGTTCATTTAATTATAACCTCTGTTTTTTCTTGTGCTGTGTTCAGTCCTGTCTGACTTTTTGTGACCGCACGCACTGTAGCCTTCCAGGCCCCTCTGTCTATAGGGATTCCCCAGTCCAGATTACTGGAGTGGGGAGCCCTTCCCTTCTCCAGGGGACCCTCCCAATCCAGGGATTGAACCGGGGTCTCCTGCACTGCAGGCTGATTCTTTTAGCAGCTGAGCTACTGGTACTAATATTTCTTCGGCTTGATGTGTTTTCTCAGAATTCATTTTCCTTCCCCCATCCCTGCCAAATGGTATAAAACACTGTTTCCATGAACTTGAGGGAATTCCTACTTACCTTTTAGTTTTCAGCTACCTTTTATAAGAAAGCAAGTGTGCATTTGGGCCATTTATTTTATCCCATGAAGGGAAGATATAATTAGTAGAATTTTACAAATTCTGACCTTTTAGAAGCAAGAGATATGATTTATTAACATATCACCAGTATCAGCTTGTTGTATATCTATTTGTGTTTTTCACCTTATCTTTGTTTTCTATACTTTAGTGTAGGCAAGTTATGAAGTTTCTCAGTTCTATCACGGGATCTAAAATTGCCCAGGAACATGCAAATTATTGGTTTTCCAGCGTCATCTAGTGGCTGTGCTTTGTAATCACCACAGATCCTCCTATAAATCTTTATTCAACCAAGTCCTTCATGTATTCAAAAATGATTAAATGCTGTGTGTGTGCGCTCAATTAAAGGAGCACTTATACTTCATAAGTGAACAGTTCATCAGATATTAAGACAATGGTGTGTTACATGATTCTATTTTTTCTTTTTTTTTTATGATTCTATTTTCAACTGACTAAATCGGCACCCTTATTCTGAACACAATGCTGGAATCCAGTGTTTCCTTTTTGTCTGTTTGGTGACAGTTTAATAGAGCTGTAGTCTGGTGAGAGAGGAGCACTGTATTCTCACTGGGCTGCAAAATACAGGCTCACCTAGTCAAATTTAGGCATAGGTCCTGAAAATGGGCTTCCTAGACTTAAAAGGCTATCAAATTGCACGGGGCTCTGATTATCTAGTGATGAGTACGAACGACCGTCACTGAGAACATTGCTCCTTCGTCCTATCTGTAATCCTGGAGGAAGCGCTTCTCAAGCACAAATAGTTGTTTAAAAAAATGATATGAAAACCATACCTCCAAGGCATTTCACTCTTTTACACAGAATGTTCTTTTAAAGTGATCATGACAGAGAATGAACTCATAAGGGAAAAGGGCTATCTCTGAGAATGAGGGTGTTAACGCTTTGCAGAGGCAATGGGTGAGGGTTGCGGTGGGCAAGGGGCTCCCAGTTCGAGGTGTCCTCGCTTGTGAAGTCACAGGCAAGCTTCGGCTCAGGCGATGTGCGCACAAAATCACCTGAGGTGACAGCCTCCGCGATGTTCAGATTGTTCAGCGAGAGGCCCAAGGACTGGCGAGAGGACGAGGACGAGGTGCTGCTGGCGGACTCGGACGGGGGCCGGGCGGGCTTCGCGGCGCGCCCCGGCTCCGCCTTCGCGACGTGCCCCGCCTCCGCCTTCGCGACGTGCCCCGTCTCCGCCTTCAGCCGGTCATTCTCGGCCTTCAGGATTTCAATCTCATTCTGTGGGGAGATCGGAAACATGAAAACACGGCGCTAAGTCGAAGAGAAAAGGGTATCAACTCTTCTAGTAGTGTTAATCAGTGTGTGTGTTTTTTAATGTGGTGAGATAGTAAATAAATGTAAATTATGAAAACAAGATTTCCTTCCAAAGAAGGAAAAGTAAATATCTTTCTGTCTCCCACATATACATATTCAGATATTCACAAATACAGATACACTGACCAGTGGAATTTTTTTATACTTAAAAAAAATCTATCATATATTTGAGGAGTTTTCCAGGATGTGGTCTCACCTGAATTAAGAATAACATAATTGAAGAGGTCATTCCATTTCTCATTTTAGAATTAAACACTACAACATATATAAAAAGAGATAACCAACAGAGAGACCTACTATATACTCAATGTTTTGTAAAAACTCATAAGGGAAAAGAATCTAAAAAGAATGTATCTATATCTATCTATATTCAAAAATGCCCTTCATAATACTCTGAATTCAGAGAGAGTTGAAAACCACAGTAAAACAAAAGTAATATAAATGAAGTGATTTAAAATCATCACTTCAGAATCCTAGCTAATGTCTGGAAAAGTTTTTGTTCCTTCAAAACAGGGCACTAAGCTCATAGAAACAACACAAGCCTTTTGATGACTCTATCAGTGCTTTAGGAATCTGCTTGGCAACAAGTTTTTCCTGTTTCAGTCATCTGTGGTACCAAGTGATTACCGGTTGACAATAATAAAATGAAACTCTGAGCACAGACTGATTCTGAATTTAGCCTTCAGATCCTTCCAAGACATACAAAAGCTTTACTTTTACAGATGGCATTCTACATCACTTTTACTTTCATATTTAGAAAGCTTGTGTTATATTTCTGTCCTTTCCTCATTTCATTTGTTTTTCAATAAAAAATAGGTAAAGGTGTTTGAAAGTCAGATTTCAAAATTATAGGAAAAAGTCACCAAGGGTAAATCATGGGAAAGTGAAGAAGCAAGGGCTGTAGTAGTTTCTCTGAAAACTTAGCTCTCAGCCAATTCAATCACTAGTAAAGTGCCTTCAATGGTCCTTGAGTGCAACCAGCCAGTTTGCACTCCCGTTTCCAAACCTGGATTTGACAAAATTCTCCAACCGATATTAGGAAAGGAGTTGCGGAGATTAAATAAAAAGAGTGCATTTCCAAAAGGGATTTAAATGTGAGATTTGCTTTCGCAATAACTGAGAGGAGAGAATAAGCAGCATTTTAAATCTCCCCTGTTCATTCCTTGCAGGTGCTTACAGACCAACCTGCATCCGGTTCATGGCTTCCCGGATCTGATCGAGATGATGTGCAGAGCTGAGGGCCTCCAGCCGAATATCTGTTAATTTTAATTCCTTTTCTCTGAGCTCACTCTTCAACTGCAGAATTATCTCTGCCTCAGCCTCTGTGCATTCACAGATCCTAAAGAAAGAAGAAAGCACAAAATCAGCAGTTGGGGAAGCCAGAGGATTAGGAAAGGCAATGATTCTTTTAAAAGCTGAACTGCAATATTATCCAGCAGGTACAGAGATTATTTGCTGCTGGCAAAACCTAGAGAAAAGGAAAAAGAGTCTTACCAACAGTAATACATTCATAGGTTCAAAACTGAAAAGAGTAGGCCTTTGTCTCTCTCTCTTTTTTTAATCTCTATTTTTTGAAGTTGAAAAACAACCTATCTTTACTGTATAGAAACTGATACTCAAAATTCCCTTGTTGCTGATATTTATGGGGCTGAAAGTCAGAGTAGTACTGCATCTCATTCAACCATTTTCTCAAGAGACTTAACCTTCTATTTGCAACATATTAAATTTGTTTAAAACAAAGTTATTATGCATTAAAATGTTGATTTCTAGTTTTATAAAATTTTGCAAAGAATAACCTTATTTTCCATAATACTATCTTCAAGTTACCGCAAAACTTCAAAATAAATACTGTAGACAAATCAAGGAGATTAGTTTTGGACATTTAAGTAATGGATGAGTGTTATATAATCCTGGTAGGCTCAGCTGATTTAGGAGGTCAGCTAATGAAACTGAACCAAGGTTTCAACACAAACAAGCAGGCTAGTTGGGGCTGCTTGAAGGTCACATACACTACACCCTTACTGTTGTTGTGGTGGTGTTTTGCAGACAGCTTGGGAGGAAATGTGTCAAAAGAAGTTCTTTTATATTAATGAATATCTTTACTATTTAAAATGCGAGGATTAAGCTGCTGGTCACAAAATGACAGTGCTATGTTCTTCTAAGTCAGGGAATTATAGCAGGTGCGCAAGGTCTTAAATGGTTCTATTTGTGGCCCTGCTGTATATGCCAGCTCTGGGGAGCTGCCGTCACTGGCACACACGGAATCTGAACTAAATAGTATACAGAACAAAGAGAATTATCAGAGCACATGTTTTACATTCTAAATGTTTTATTCTTTCTTATAACATTATAGTGGGATACTATAAAAAAATGCTATGCTAGATTATCTAACACATGAAGAAAAATGGATTGCAGTTTGGCTTAAGGTAACAAAATTTTACTTCCACAACAGGAGGGCAGAGGAGGTCGTTATTGTTGAAACACATGCGAGTGATTTTAGAGAAAGCAGGAGTGAACACTGCTTAGGTTAGCACTGGGATCTTGGCAGTTTTCATGCATCACACTCCATTTTACCGGGATCTATGCTTGTAGATCACAGGGCCATTTTGTCGTTTCTTTGGTGGCCAGACAAGGGGTGACCTGCATTTAATGCACAGTTAGATAGATACAAGGACAAATGCCAGTGAAAATAATAACTTAGAAAAGGGGAGAATGAGATCAAGAAACATTCACGTTCTAATGTATGGAAAACAGAAGAGAAATGAATGCTGCCTGCTATTCTAAGGAAGATCTGGAAATACTGGACACAGCGACAGTGCTGCGGTTCCATTCGGAACAGACACGTGGGTCTGGCCTGAAGTTGTCTTCAATAGATTCTTCCTCATGCTGCAGAGGGGGTGACTTACGCAGAGGCCGACTGCGAGGGCTTCATGGAGGCTGACCCACAGTCACCCCCGTTGTGGGGCAACTTGGGGGATGCCGGAAGGGACGAATCTGTAAGCTCTTCAATGTCCGAATGTGAGGAAGGAGGCTTGGTAGACTTTTTCTTCCCAAAGGCTTGTTTGAATGAGCTTCTCAGCTGCAAGAAGGACAGAAATTACCTTCCTTGTCTATTTGCACTGGGGGCATCTCGCTTTGGGCCGTTAGTTTGCAGGCGCCATCCTAGCCACTGCCTGGGGTCAGTATGTATAAGCAAAGGATTAACAGCTGCAGCACGGTATCTCCAATTAAAAAAAAAAAAAGATACCGTGTTTTGTGTTTTTGTTTTATTCTCGTATTAATCCAGCACAGCGCAAACATGGAAGGCTTTTAAACAGTGCAGGGACAAGGGCATGGCTGTCAGAGCACTCATTTAAAACGAAGTACCTTGAAGGGATCTCCTTTCAGAAGGCTCCTCTCTTCAAGGCAATTTGTTTTAAATGGCCACTTTAGCACTACTGTCAAGTCAGGGCCTGCTGACAGTATAAACTTAAAAAGCAAAATGAAATCAAATTCACCTAACACTTCATTAATTGTGAGTTTCTATTCAAATTTTCAGTTCCCAGACTATGCAAAACCAGAATTGGTATGCCCTACAGCGCTATTTGGAAAGTAGTTTTACTTCTCTTTAAAATTGAAGATTAAAATGAAAAGACACAAAGGAGAGACAAACAAGGTAATCTGTTTTTAAAAGGTATAAAAGCTTCCTGCCAAAATGAATAGCATTCATGCCAAGGGTGGGTGTTTTTATAGATGCATGCCAAATTGTCCACGGTTTATATTCACCTCACTTCCTCTAGAGTTCACCTTGCAGAAACATGAAAGAGTGTGGAATTACAAATCAAGGGAATGAAGGCTGATCAGTATTTTAAAATATTACCTGCATAAACATTTTTTTAAAACAAAAAAGATATTTCTCTCATTATTTACAGAAAGCACTCTAGTAAAATCCTTTCCTAATTTCATTTTGGATTTCATCAAGAGTTCTACTTATTTAAAACTTATTTTTCTTTCATGGCATTCAAAGAAATCCTTTACTTCATTATTTTTTAAACATTTTGTAGTGGTAGCATCTTCTCAGTTTTTCAGCAATTACTTTATATCATAAATTATGTCTCTAGCTAACAAGGGATAGTTCTGTTAAAGTACATTTCTATATTTCTCCTATGTTCTTTTGGTGAAAATATACATAGTTGATTTCTGATACAGTGACATTTTCACACTATAAGCTCTGCTGGTGCAAGGGGTGGAGAAGTTTGCATGGACTCTTCTTTCTCTTTTACCGTTCTATTTTTTCTCCTCTTCCTCCATCAGCATCTTTACCACCATCAATATCATCACCACTACTAACACCACCACCATCATCACCATCATCCTTTTCTTCTTCTTCATCTCCACCTTCACAATAAGGCCCTGCTCTGAGCCTTTTATTTATAGATGTTACTCTATTTTTCTTTACAATATCCCTGTAAAGTCAGTATTAATTACCCAGTTTTTACAAACGAGAAAATTTAGGCTCCCCAAAAGGTGAAGTAACTTGCCTAAGAGCCAAAAATTAAGCATTAGAGTTGGGATTCAAATCTAAGTTCAGTTAGTCCCAACTCCAAAACATCTGCTCTTCAGCGCCAGGCTGCCCTGAACTTGTTGATGAGTGTAGAATTTGAGGGGTCCGTCACTTGAATGAGATACTGTAAAATGCTGTGAATCTCTAAAGCCCCAAAGGAAAACTCCTGCCTCACTGTGCAGTGATAAGCTTCTGAATTAGATGAATGCTAACAGCTTACCCAGTTTTTCTTCTTCTTCTTCTTGGAGTCAGCATCGTTACCACTGCCAACGCTGGAATGGCTTGTGGCACTGTTAATACTAGAGACGCTTTCAGAGGAATGCTGTCTTCTGATGCGGAGATCTAGCCACAGAGAGAGAGAGTCACATTTACTCATAAAGACTTTCAATCTGAACAAATAAGACTTTCAGGCTTTCTGAGAGCAAGTTCTCTAATCAGAGTCAACACAGCTTTGTACAGATCATTTCAATGCAGTTTGAGTTTTATAAGCTTAACAAAGTACCACCCTATTTGCTTTAATTAATTAGTGTATTTGTATTAAGAGTCAATGGGAATCTCAGGTAAGTCTGTAGCATTGGCAGTTTAATGAATTCTGAGTTTTGTCCCAAAATTAAATGCTATGCTAGTGATTTTACTGAATACCTAGATCAAGCAGCACTTAGAAAATAGTTTATCCCAATGATATATTCCATAGAGTAAATGGAAACTCATAATGGCATGAAAATTAATTGTGTCTTTTTAATATTTGTCCTTTGAATAAAGCTACCAAAGCCAAATATACTGACTTTCCATTTCATGGAAGCATACCTTGTTAGAGCCAAAACAAACCTTGCGAGTCATCTAAGCACTTCATCTCATAGATGAGGCAACTGAAATGCAAAGAAGTTAAGTACCTTGACCATGGTCAAAGAGCCAATGGGGTGAGAGTGCTCAAGAGAGAATCTCGGTAGACTTCATTTGTGAATTAAATAGAAATCATATTTAAGACAGTGTAATTCTCCCATTACACCTAATCCCAGCCCATGACTTGGAAGAGTAATAGGAGCAATAACAACAGGTAATAATAAAGCTAGCTTTTACTAGATGCTTGCTTTGCTCTGGGAGCATCTAATTTTACTATTAAAGCAAACCACTGAAATGAGTGTAATCACTGAAGCTTCCTTGTAGTAACACAGCTGAAAAAGAGTCTTAGATGGATCCTACTGTCTATTGTACTAACTGCCAGGTAATATGACCTCTATATACTCCTAAAAAGCATGAACTTCTCTTTAGCTAATAAGATATTTTGAAAAGGACACTATTTGATACTAAATCACTTTTTGAAGGTAGTCACTTCATACAAGAAGCTTACAAGATTTATTTATAATTATTAAAATTGAAATTATTTCTACTCATAGTGAGCTGACCTTAAGAGTCTGTGAAGACACAAGTCATTTATAAAGTTATTTTTAAGGTCAAATGTGCTTTTAGTCCATTTCTTACTGCTATATTTAATTGGAATCAATGCAGATTAGCCAAGCAAAAAATATCTCAGTGGAACTTATCAGATGTCAGAAATTACAATATAGCTTTCAAAAAGTTCCCATAGAAATAATAGTATATAATCAAAACTTTTCAGCAAAGTAGCTTCACAGTAAAATGACCGATGGAGATGGAACCTTAACCAGTTACTTGCAAATTGTACAATAAGTATACGTGTGGGTGGGTGATATACACATACATATCTCCATCTTTAATCTCATATACATACCTATCAATAAGTACTTTCATTTTTCCATTAAGAGAATAACTGTGCTGAAAAATCTTATAGGAGGGGAAAAATATAATAGCTGTTTTTAAGAATCCCTAGAATTTGGTCTAAAAGTATATATTTTTTTAAAGATGAACATTTACTGTTTTTGCATGACAAAAGCATTACCAGTGCCAAAACCTAAATCATGGTATTTATGTGTCTTTTATTTGTTTGTTTTTCTTTCTTTTTTTTTATGTGTGTTATTTTGCATCAACAATAAAGGAACACAGTATCCCTTAATCAACTAATGTGGAAATTATGTGAATAAGCAATAAAAGAATATGTGTAGGTTTTTGTGTTTTAAATATCTGCTACATTTGGCTACAAGCTTTTCTGAATAAGATTAGCATTTGCTAGTTTTCTCATCATGACTGACTTTTACAAATAAAGCAGATGTATTAAGAGTTAAAGTATTTCAGAGTTTTCATCATATCCAGAATTAATAAATTATATTTGACTTTAATTAATCCCAAAGTGTTTAAAGATAGGTTAAAAAGTAGTCCTTGGAGGCATTAGCTATGTTCAACTATGACTGCATTTCCAATAAAGGCTGGCAAGGGCATAATTTCAATAACATTACAGGATGAAGGGAATGCATTTTACTTTTCTCTGTCAATTCTTTTCTAGAGTTAAGTATTTGAGTACATGCAGCATCACAGAGTTCAGTAAAGAATGGTTGATCAAATGAATACCAACAATCTGAATGAATGGAGAAGCTTGTTTTAAACAAAATATATTTCAGTTACATGTTTATTCATTCTTCATGTTCCACTTCCCACCCTTTGCTCTGTCACTGTTCTAGTTGGAGCCATTACTATCACCTACTTGCTCTAAGAACAGCCAGCCAACTCATCTTCAAATCTTTTTAAAGAAAAATCCTACCATCACTCTCTTATTTAAGACTTCTCAGTAGATTCCCATTTGAGCAAGAATAGAAAACATTCCAACTCTTAAATATGGCCTACAGATCCCTAAGTAATCTGGTCAGTACTCATCTCTCCAACCTGGTTCAGTTTATTTTATCTTTGATCATTATCTTCTTGGGGTCAGTTCCATAAAGGCATGGATCTCTTTTCTGTCTTAAGACCCTCATGGAATGCTTTTCTCTCAATATTTAAAATCTGCCTTGACAATGAATCCTTGGATTTCCCCTTATACATTACTATCTGGTAAAGGACTTTCTAGACTCTGTAACCAGAGTTGGTTGGTTCTCTGGAACCCTTGCTCTCTATGGCACACATTTTTGTCCATTTTAGAACTTATAACTGTTTTATATGCACATTCAGCTACCCTAATGATCACAACAATTCTTTATTTCTGTTTTCCCTTAAGATTAAAAGTTAAATGTTGAGAAAGACTATGTCTAGTTGGTTTACCATTATATATTCAGGGCTTTATACAGAGTATATTATATGCTAGGTGATCAACAAGTAATTGTTGAATAAATATATTCTTACAATTCATTCAGTGTAACACTGAGTTTTAATATTAATCTGAATATCCTATATACATATAATCCTTTATAACTATTTGTTTTTGTTAGTTTTAAACTTTATAAAACTATTATTTAATCTTTCTTGACCAATCTGTATAGTAACTGTTATCCTTTTGTTCATTTTAGTCACCCCTCTCACATATCTGAGCAAAGGAATTCCTATTTTTCAATTCCGGTAAATATTAAGCTACCTGTTGCCTGAGATAAAATGAATCTTTCCAGAAAGTTTTACTTCAGCGTCTTGCACCACAGTAAAGAAGGGATTAAGTCTTTTTAAATCCCTTCTGGACCTATTTACAACATGAAGATTTAGAACATAAGCTGCTTTATTATAGCTCTAAGATAAGCTTTAAATATGCAGTAATTTTCCATGCTGCATATAAATTAACTCCCCCACATGGAAAGTTGCTAAATTCTTAACAGAAGTAGCCCCTAGAGAACTAGTTTTTCTTTTAATTTCAGTATATCAAACTTTATATAATTATTTTCCCAAAAGTTAAATTTTGTTTTTAAAACTTATATTAATATTTTCTATAAAATTTGAATAAGCCCCTTTCATGTACAAGGCATCAACATGGCCAGGATTTAGTTTAAGAAAACAAATCACCCTGCTATCAACCAGGAAAAGTAGACCATAAATAAATGAAGGCACCAAAGTGTAATGCAAATTTTGTAAGGGAACTACAGTTATTTTCAAAAACATATCACAAAGGGACTTCATACAGTTTGAGAGTCAAGAAGGTATGTGAGAGTGAAGTGAAAGTCACTCAGTCATGTCCGACTCTTTGCAACCCCATGGACTATACAGTCCATGGAATTCTCCAGGCCAGAATACTGGAGTGGGTAGCCTTTCCCTTCTCCAGGGGATCTTCCCGACCCAGGGATGAAACCCAGGTCTCCCACATTGCAGGCAGATTCTTTACCAGCTGAGCCACAAGGGAGGCCCAGGAATACTGGAGTGGGTAGCCTGTCACTTCTCCAGGGGATCTTCCCGACCCAGGAACTGAACCAGGGTCTCCTGCATTGCAGGCAGATTCTTTACCAACTGAGCTATCAGGGAAGCCCCAAGGAGGTATGTTTAGGCTAACTCTCGCAAGATCTCAGAAAGTTTTTATGCTGAACAAACACTGTAGAAAGTGCCAAGCAGAATAAACAGAATATGTAATGAACTTTTGAAGAACTGAAGTTCAGGATAGCTAAAGCATGAAATGACAAAATGCAAGACAAGGTCTAAAAGACTGTCTAGAACATAAATGATAATCATTAAATACTTGTTGAATAAACAAAACTGGCAAAGAGAGATTATGTCATGTTAAGGAGTCTGTATTTTATCTAAAGGCAATGGGATACCTGTTAGATATACACTGTTAGACCCCTGCTCTGGTCTCAGTGTGAATGGCACAAAGAGGTGAAAGACAGGGCTGGAAGGCTATTTAGGAGCCTGTGGTCACAGTTCAGGGGAGAGATGAGGAATGGTGATAGGAGGATCAGAGAAATGGAAATGAGAGATGTTTAAGAGGTGGGATCAACAGAACTTAGTGATATATTGAGTGAGGAGGGGAGGATTTCTGGTAATATGGAAGGATGGTGATGCTTTTGACTGAGAAAGGAGCATTGAAGGCAAAGGCAGGTCTGCGAAAGAAGAAGACAAGTTCAAGATAACCCGATAGAGTCCCCTCTTTAGCAGCTGTATTTACAGATGTGTGACTTGAGATTAGCCTGCCCTGGAGAGATATATTTGACAGTTATCAACACAAAAACAATAATTATAGATAGAGTATTAGATGGCCTTGTATAAAAATTTAGATAGGATGAAGAGAATCATAAAATGTATAAAATCATAATGGAAGAGAGCTTGGGACTGGGCTCTAAGAAACATCAGTATTTAACAAATGCAACAAACAAGTGAATCTACAAGAGAAACTGTGAAAGGAAATTTCAAATCATAGAAGAATAAGAATATGCATGTAATGAACATCAGAAGAAGTGAATGTTTCAAGTATGATGGAATAGACATCACTATCAAATGCTATTTCTATGATGAATATAATAATGTAGTGGATTTAGAGTTATATAAGTCCTTATTGATGATGGAGAGAACAGTTTTGGTGGAGTAGTGGAGAGAAAAACCATGCTCCAGTGTCTGAAGTATGACTGGCTATTGAAGACACTGAACAATTCTATCAAAAATTCCCAAAATTCATCTGGAAAAGGGCAGAGAGATGACAGAGCACTCAGGATTTAAGAAAGCATTTGTCATCTGGTAAAGAGTTGAGCATACTGAATGCTACTTAAAAGAGACTAAGAATAAGTAGAAATTATGTAAAGAGAAAAAAATGACATGATATTATCACAGAGTATTTCTTCAGTGGCAATCAAAGGGGGTGGGGGGTGGCAAAAAAAGATTATCATTGTTTCAGATTGCTGGAGCGTTGTTATTGTTTAGTTACTAGGTTGGGTCTGACTCTTTTGTGGCCCCATGGACTGTAGTCCCCTAGGCTCCTCTGTCCATGGGATTTCCCAGGCAAGAACACTGGAGTGGGTTGCCATTTCCTTCTCCAGGGGATCTTCCCAACCCAGGCACTGAACCTGTGTCTCCTGCATTGGCGGGTGGATTCTTTACCACTGAGCCACCTTGAAAGCCCTACTGAAGCATAGTAATAATTAAAAACACACCAACTTTTAGTCCATTTTCTTACTGTTTTTAAGTTTTCTACAAAAAAATATATTTCTTATTGCCCCCACACAGGACAAGTTGCTCCCAATACCCACTACTTCGCCATATTGACTGCTATATTTTTACATAAAGATCTAAATTTCCATATTCCTTCTCTGGTTTGTTTTGCTCAATGGCAAATATGAATGTATTACCCAACCTCCCTAGACCCAACTTCACCAAATCAAGAGGAGAGAAGAGTTTGGCTGTAGGAGCCAATTCCTAAGGTCAGGTTGATACTGAAGGCTACTGTTCTTAAATTCTGAGATTCTGAATACTAGCAATTCACATATTATCAAAGGCAGTGTGACTGAGTAAAAGCAGCTTTGCTCTAATTAATAAAAATAGATGCCTACCAGATTGCATGAAAAAATGGCAAGACTTCTACAGATACCTTTGGGAGGGTGGTCAGGACCGTTCAGAGCTCCCTGAATGGCTGCCTGGGCAGCAGAGTTCTGGGCCTTCAGCATTTCAATGGTTTCTCTTAGTTCTATCAGTTCAGACTCCTGTGAAACAAACAGAATTTAGAAGCTTTAACACTTAGAGAGAAGAGCAAACCACTTGTATTCACAGCTCACTATCTAATGAGCTTGGTTTTATGTAGTGCTACTGTCCTGGGAGATCTGGACGCTTGGCTGACCTTCTAAGTTGTATCCTGCAACCTTTTACTTGTAAATGTAAGAAGCTAAATCTGATAGAGAATTAAAAAATAATGTTTTGGTTATTCTCTTACAAATGTGATCTGATTAGTCTTTATTTCTGTAAAAGGGTACCCCAAACTGAGGGCTCCCCAGGTGGAAAAGAATCCACCTGCCAATGAAGAAGACACAGGAAATGCGGGTTCGATCCTTGGTTCAGGAAGACCCTCAGAGGAGGAAATGGTAACCTACTCTAGTATTCTTGCCTGAAGAATCCCATGGACAGAGGAGCCTGGCAGGCTACAGTCCATAGGGTCACAAAGAGTCAGACACAACTGAGCACGCACACACCCAAAGCTGACCAGTGTGACCTAAAACAAGACAGCACACTGCTCGTTTAGATGCCAAACTTATCACTACTACCCAAAAGTATATCATATGGCATGTACTGTTCATTGGAAACCCTGAGTTTTTGTCAAATGAGTGATTTTAGATTTTCCCATCTGTTTTGCATTTGGGATATAGAGTCTTTATATTCAATAACAAAACCTGGAATTCATTCCTAATCCACTCCTATTAAATGCCATATTATTAAATCTGCTATCATATCAAGGTCATCTTAGATTTTGGCACTTTTTAGGCAAATAAAATTCCTAGTATAAAGACCTAGCGTCAGCAAGCCAAAGAAATACAGGAATTTTTAAAAACTGAATAGAAATATATGTAACATATAGTCCTTAAAATAGTTAAATTATTTACAAAGCTTACAAATAAAAATTTTATGACACTTATTTTCTTATTGGGACTTCCCTCGTAGCTCAGCTGAGGAATCTGCCTGCAGTGTAGGAGATACAGAAGACATGGGTTTGATCCTTGGGTCAGGAAGATCCCCTGGAGAAGAAAATAGCAACCCATTCCAGTACTCTTGCCTGGAGAATCCCATGGACAGAGGAGTCTCACAAGCTACAGTCCATGGGGTCTCAAGAGTCGGACATGACTTAGCAACTAAACCACCACCACCACCATTTTCTTATTGAATTCAGGGTAACTTTAAGCTATGTCTCAATGAAAATTCTTGTCTAAATTTCATCATCCATATTTATTTAAATGAGTATCTTCACCAGAAATAAAGGACTCACTATAAGGAAGATAACAGTAGCAGCAACACCAACCAGGAACAGGAGTGTTGTTTCAGCGAAAGCAGTATTTCCACCAGGAGCACAAAAATAAGGAGTATCCCTGGCTGTGATAGCAATCCTAAAAATCAGAATCCTTGTGGACCTCTTAGGAGGAGAATTCCTCCATAATATATTTGTCATTCATCATTTTTTCCAGTATCTTTGGCAGAAAGCCAAAGAACTGAACTTGAGTTCTTCACTCAGCGGTAAGCAGTTTATCCCTACTTAACATCTCCCAGTATATATGAAAAAAAGCAGGGTCATGATAAGTGCCACTGAAGAAAACTGCTTCATACATGGGAATGTCCAATGGCTATTCCAGCCTTCAACACTTTTTTTAAAAAAGATGGATGGTGCTAATTGAAATGATAGCCAAGTTCAGCATAGATACTCAGTACCTCATATCTATTTTCCCTGAGTATCTGGCATATTCTTAGAGGACAGGCATTAAAAAAAAAAAAAAAACCTCTTATAGACTTTTAATAGCTTATAAATCAAAGAATCTCATAATAGAAAATCAGTAGTGACCTCCTGGATTCACACATGGATCTTCAAATATTTGACTGTAATTTCACTTGCGTTTATTTGTCATAAAGGAAAAAGAATATGTGTATGAAAATTACCAATACTGTGACAAAAATTGTGTCTAACACAATTTGTCATATTTTATCAGTCTCTCCAAGTTCTATCTATATTTTGCCCCTTGTCTAACTAGTAATAGATTATTTTACCAAAATTTAATATGCTTCCCATTTAAAATAAATCTCCCAAGTGATAAAATATGTACTGGAAATTCATTCTACTTTTACCAGAAATATATTCACAAAAGAACACCTATAGTGCATATTTAATGAATTACATAATTTAAGTAATTTTACAACTAGCATGGATGTTAAATTTTAAATAAACTCAATTTCCATACTTGAGTTTAAAATCAACAGTGCTAAAACATTTGCCTTTAGCTTAAAAGAAGAAAAAATGAAAATTAAATCTCATATAAATGTCTAAAAATTTAGCTTGATTTTATGGGTTGGTTGACTTATTTCATTTATTTCAAATTTTATTCTTTTCTAGAGAAATCTCTTCTAGAAACTACTATTTTTTTAAATTAGAAGTAGAATGTTCAGGTAATATTGATTTTTTTTTTTTCAGAAAACTGTGTTTAATGAAATAGAAGAATGATCACATTCTAAAATCTTAATTATCTTTTTTAAAACAACAGCTATTGGCAGGGTAGTTATCACTCAGGGCAGCACAGTAAGCCCAGAGGAAGAATAACTATGTAAGAAATATTCCCATATATATGGGAAAATCACATCTATGAAAAATTAGTTTAGCCAAACTCAGTACTTCCTCAGGAAAACTTTGTAAGTATAAGCAAGTACCTATAAAATGTCACACTGACTTTAAAAAAACAAAATAGCTAAATTCTACACTGATAATCTTTTCAAATCTGAACTAGTTATCTCTCCATATCTGCAAAAATCCCTTTTTTCTTACTTCTGTTAATGAGACCCACCCTCACCATAACTCAAACTAGCACATATTTTTCTCTGAGCCTTTCCATGTGATTGCTTCCTGTGCTTTGAATATTCTTCTTCATCCTTAAGGAGTATGGTGAAGTATCTTTATACACAATGACACGAGTTTTCTTTTGAGGAAAAATGAAAAGGTTCCTTCTCTATATGTCCAGACCATTAAATGCATTGAGTGTAGTTAGCTGTTGAAGAGTTTATCTTTTTATCTGACTTACGATCTGATCTCAATAAATGTTGGAATGATTTTGTTCAAATGTCTGGTCTTCATTAAACAGATGTTTCTCCCCTTCAAAGAATGATGAAACAATTCAACTCTACTGCATATTTTAACAAGAGGGTGTCTCATCAAATAGATGCCATATACTAAAAACATCAAAACCTTATCATTCATTTTAAGACAAAAGTCTCAATAAAGCTAAATCGCTGGAATACGCCCTTTGGATAGCAACAAAGTGAGTTTTTTCTTTCTCTTTTTTTAAAAGTATATAGAAATGAATATAAGGTATTTCAAAACTTCACTGAGACAGCAATTTTTTAATAGTTTACTTCTAGTGTTCCTCTTTCCCCTTTATAATTATAGTTGATTTTTCACATTTTTTAAGCTACATATTTTCTAAGATGCCTATAATTCATGGAACTTACAACAATGCCTCCAAGTACAACTATGATTTCTGTATTTATTTGTTTTTTTTGGGCAATGCAAGGGAGAGTGAATGAGAAAAATAATTAGAAGTGAGTTCCAGAGATACCCAACTATAAAATTCTTTGATAATCTGAAATATATTAACATATTCTTTTCATTTTAAAGGTGACTTAATAGAAGATACTTAAGTTTTGAGGATCCCTTTTAAGCCTTCAGAAAGAACCTGGAAAATATATATAGCATCAAGAGATGAATTTGAAGTCTATTTCTCCAATTCAGCAGTTTTCTGTTTCCTCCTCAGCTCATTAGGTACCAAAGAAAAGACTGCCCCTAGAGTAACTCTGCAGAGGGTCTTGGGAATAAGATGATCAGAGAGTATTTTGTATGTATTTCCCACTTTTCAAAACTGATACTTTAAAATGTGAGAACTGAACTAAAATTTTATTTATGTACAATGAGCCTTTCAAGAGAATGATGCCTCAAACACAAGCTTGCCATTTAAGATTTCAGTATTCTATGACAGTTTCTTGTGTAAAAGAGGTTAGATGGAGTCAATATCTCTTCTGTTTTGTACACATTTCTGAGGCAAAACAAGTTATCATGGTCAGATTTTAAATGCTTCAAAATAAAATGATCAAATATTGTGTCAGAATACTAACCTTTCTTGGTGTTTTTCCAACCTAATTTCCTAACTACATCTGACTTCTTTCCAAATTTCTCCTGGACAGGCCTTGTTGAGAATCCCATGGCTTGGCAACAAATCTTATCAACCAACTGGAACTTCAAGGCAAGGTTATTAAAATTTTTCCACTAAACCTGCCTTTTGCTTCCCCATATTGACACAATTAATTATACATTATCTAGCTGTGGTTTCTTTGAACATCTCCTACTTGCCATTCCCTTGTGTGTGTCTTGAAATACCATGAGGTTTTCTACCAAATGAATCTGGCCATTCCTGGTTCTAAGTGAACTGAATTCATCAAACCCCAGTAGCCTAAGTCACTTGAATCTATAAGTAACTTCTGGATTCAAATTGTGCTGCACCCTAAAAGGCTAATGAATGCATTTTCTGAGTCTAGTGATGAATTTTTAGAAAAACATTTTGAGACATAAATATTTTAACCTGAGCTAGGAGGAATTAATGTAAATACCCAATTCAACTAAAATTTTAGCTTTTATGTTAACCATTTCCAGAGAGTTGCTTTTGAATTTTCTATTTTAGTATTTAAGTGTCTATTTATCTAGTTATCAAAAAAAGTAGTTTCACAGAGGTGAGAATAAGCAAACCCTAGACATTATATTTAGCATAAAGATCAATATCTGAGCTCCAATACTCATACAAAAATATATTCCTCTGTTGTGCTCTGACCTTGCAACAAGACTAACCGAGCGCACCTTAATATATGTTCTAATCAGCTCTGGCACTAGATATAAAGAAGTGATTTGGAAGTCTTTTAATTATCAGTGAGTAGATAGCCTTAGTAAATTTTTAAGGACAGCAAGACAGCAGGCTGTATAAAAATTTCATTCATAAAAATATAGATTTGCAGAATTCTTGCCATTTTGATGACTTTTATTATAGCATAAGAAAATAAAATCCTGAATAATAATTTGTGTGACATTATTTTTTTCAATTCTGACAAGGCTGGTACATTGCGAGTACCACTTTAGATGCAATGAAAAGATACTGTTTCATCACAATGCTTCAGGGCATAAGATCTTAAGTCTTTTAAAGAATCTTGGTAGAAAAGTACTAGTCAAGGGACAAGGGCCTGAAATCCAGATAAAATTCTTGATCAAACTATGTTACTATTACAGTTTGTTGAGCAGGAGGTATCAGGCAATACCTAGAAATAATATTACTGTACAGGCAAACATTATTGACAATTATCTTAATTACTTCTACTTATGCATGAATGCATTCAAAGTCGCTTCAGTCATGCCTGACTCTTTGTGACCCCAGAGACTATAGCCCACCAGGCTCTTCTGTCCATGGGATTCTCCAGGCACGAAGATTGGAGTGAGTTGCCATTCCCTTTTCCAAATCTTCCCAACCCAGGGATCGAACCCTCATTTCTTATGTCTCCTGCATTGGCAGGGAGGTTTTTTTTTTTTTACCACTAGCGCCATCTGGGACGTCCACTCCTATTTAGACTTACTCTTCTATAACATGTGAATCTTGTCTTGTGTTCAGTCGTGTCTGACTCTTTTGCAATCCTTTGGACTGTACCCTGACAGGCTCCTCTGTCCATGGGATATTCCAGGCAAGAATGCTGGAGTGGGTAGCCATTTCCTCCTGCAGGGGATCTTCTCAACCCAGGGTTTGAACCTGTGTCTCCTGCATTGCAGGTGCATTGTTTACCCACTGAACTATCTGGGAAGCTTGATCTTTTGGCAACTACCGGAAATGCTATTAAACTATTGGAAAATGTAGTTAGATTTTTACCTTCATTAACTATCTTTTATCCTGTTAGTCTAGTGTCAAAAACTTTTACTTCAAAAGACCAAATTCCTTCGATATCTTTCAGGCCTTGGTTCCACATTTCCCTCCACACTCCTTCTCTGTCCCTCAATGTGTCCTATCATTTCCCCCCTTGCCCTTCACTCCTATGGTGTTCCTTTGTCTATGGCTTACAGTCCTTGATCTCTCCTGATTTTTCTTTATCCACCCAGAGCCTGACATGTGTCCTCTGCGTGTCACCTCATTTATAAAACTAGTGTGAGTAGATCCACAGACATAGAAAACATATTTATGGTTACTAAAGGTGAAAGCAGTGGAGGGAAAAAGTAGGAGTTTGGGATTAACATATACACACTACCTATATAAAATAAATAATCAACTAGGACCTACATATAGCACAGGGAACTATACTCACTATTTTGTAGTAACCTACAAGGGAGAAGAATTTAGAAAAGAATAGATGTAACTTGTTATATAACTGTATATAACTGAATCACTTTGCTGTATACCTGAGACTAATACAAGATTGTAAATCAACTATACTTCAATAAAAAAATAAAAGTATAAGTAAATATACAATATTATAAACAAACTAGTATGAAAATGCAATGGTTCTCTGTGAAAACAGTGAGGGCATCATCCTGTTATATTTCTAAGTGTACCTCATAATTTTCTGTCTCCTGAGTTATTCATACATGTCTTTTCCTCTTTTTAACCAGGCCACACATATATAAAAGCAGTGTTTTGGCACATACATTTGGCAAGAGAATCAGTGTGACTTGGCATCTGGAAACAAGGAAGAAACTTAGAACACTATTCAAGGGAGCTATTTCTAATTAAAATTTTGATACAGTTTTTAGGATATTAATGCCATATGATTATTAAAAATCCCACACTGAAGCAGGAGTCTTGGATTTGTTAGTGTTAGTGTGGTTCATCTATTTGTTAATCAGGTAACACAGCACATGTGACCATCCTGGCTTTAAGTTCTCCACGTGTTAGCATTCTACCTTGCTTCTCAGTACAGCATTCTGATTCTCAGCTTTAAATTTTTCAGTGGTGCTTATCTTCATCTGAAATCACGCATCTTGTCATTATATTTTTATCATAATCTATCATGTACTAGAATATGAACTCTATATTATAACCAGTCATTAACCAGGACGTGTGTGTATGTGTGTTTGTATTTCACTGCTGAATTCTCAGTAGCTAAAATAGTGTCTCATACACAACAGAAGTTCAACACAAGTTTGGTGAATGGCTAAATGGACAAAGGAACCTTGGAATTCTAGAACAGAGTTTCAAAACCTCTGCTCTATATTATCTGTTTTTTTCCTCGGGATTGTTGGATCACCAGAGAGTAATATGCCCTTTTATCTTAGCTCCCTGAAGAAATGGCTTTACTGAAATATGACTAAATGTTATGCCCTCAGCTTTTAGAGAAATGCCTATTTGAACAGCGGTTTTGTCTTTTGTTATTTCATGACCTCAATTTAAGAAACTTCACAATAAATTTGTCCTTGAATTCAGTGTCTGTAAGTGTGTCTCTTCAATCTAAATTATGCTCTCCTGGTCAGAAAATGAAAACTACACATTCTAAGAAATCTCCTTTTGTGCCTTAGCTTCTTTGAGATCAATTCAATTCAATAAATCACTACTTTGGGGCAGTAATTACCTAGGTAAGCACCTTGTTACATATTCTTCTACTGGTTTTCAAGAGATTCTCTCATTGAATTGTGCTATATCATAACCCAATAAATTTTATAAGATTCTTAAAACCACTTTGGGAAAAAAGCAAGTTATAATCTCAGATTAATAAAGTAAAAATGGTTAATAAAATATAATGCTAATATTAATGCTAAAAAACCCAATGTTAATAAAATGAACATTGCTTTGTAGGTATATAGCTTTCAATTAAAAGAGCAACTATTCCATTTTCAGTTAAAAAATGTCAAGGGCAATTGCAGACATTATGATATATTCTGAGAAAGCTTTACAATTTTGGCAATATTACTTCAAGGATAATATGAAAACAATTATATAATTCTTTGTAGTATAGAGATATATTGCAAAATATTTAGAAATTTTTCATAGACATTATAAAGTAATATACATGTATATAATTCTGATTTCCATGAGAAATTTTGCCTATAAATATAAAAGAGCTGAAGGAAATATGCAGAGGCAAAATATATCAATTTTGACTTCTTAAAGATACTGACACTTAAATATTATCCATGATTTCTAACAATATGCCTGGCACATAGCCAGTGATGAATTTGATTTACCTTACATTTTTTAATGGAAAAAAGAAAAATGTCAAGAAAGGTAACATATGTTGATTATTCACTGCCTGTGATACATTATAATATCTCCCTTACTCCTCATAATGATTCTATGAGGTAGATATTATAACACCCACTTTCAAAATGATCAAGCTGAGAGTTAGGAAAGGTAGATTCTACAGCTCTTGGCAGACCTCACCGAGATTTAAACAAGGCTAGCTGCCCTAAAAAAGGCCTTGTAATCCTGTTTGCTGAGTTTTTATATTATTTAGTGAAATGGTAAATACGTATCCTCCCCAAAGAGTAAGATAAAATATGTATTTATGGTCAAAGCAGTTTGTTATCTTCTGTTTTTGAACAGACTTGACAGAGATAGAGGATGTTCTCTTTCATGGGCAGGATAGATAATGAAATAGGAGAATTAAATATAAGGGCAAGCAGAATATAGTTTTAAATTCATATCAGGCATCTATAGGTATATTTGATATTCTCTTCTGGTTTAACTGAACTGTCCACCTTTTTTTTAACTTTAAAAAAAGTGGTAAACTGATAAAACTCAGTAACACACACTAGTTCTTTAAAGCCAAACCATACTTTATAGAACTGAAGCCAAAATTGAAGCCATCCTCATGGACAGATATAGGTACTGATTATGAAATTATCCAAAATTAGGATTAAGGATTTCTTTGAAAATTAGAGGAAAACCATGGACATCTTCTCACATTATATACTTATGTGATTTTAAAAAATATTTCTACACAATTTTAGAGACGTTTTAGACACTCATCCAAGAACTCAGATTAGGGTCACCAAATTCATGACTAGAGGTAAGTTACTGGTTGTCATGTGGAAAGTGTCCAGATTGTTTCTATCTAGCGTGGACCTTTTTGATGTTTCTGCCTCTATGAACCAACTTCTCTGTTTCTATCTTTTAAGTGCTCCTTCTCCCAATCTGTAAAATTCTTAAGTTTATTTTAAAGCTTTTGCTGTAACTTAGCTTTACTTCAAAAACAGCATCCCCAGATGCCAACACATCCTTGTTATTCCCCAGTTGCACACGACTGCATCTTGCCCCATGGATACTGGAACCTATGGCCCCTTACTTTAAAACGATCCTAACCTCCATTTTAGGCCTTCTTTGTGAGCATCTCAGACCACAATATGGTCTACAATATGGTCTTATAGACCATGAATTTGGGAAAATTCTTGTCAAGAGCATTATCAATTATTCCTAGAATATTGTAACTATCTCTTGTTTCTTAATATTTGGTACTCTTTCAATAGTTCCTATCAGAAATAAAATAATAGACTGCCTTGAAAGAATGTGAGTGTGTGTGTGTGTGTGTGTGTGTGCGCACACACTCAAATATAGGTTAATCTGAATCATAAGTCATTAAATTAAAATCTGAAAAGAAAAGGTATCCTCGTGTCATATCCCAATATACTTGAGGATGGATCCTTTCAGTAGTACTTCTAAAGAGCTGCATCTCGAGTGTTGTTTAAACATCTATGCAACCTGCTGCCTTCTCTCAAGCCCCTGTGGCAGTTCCTGAACATACCTTCTGTTCCGCTGTCATGGTTAGACTTTGCAGTCGGCCAGTCATATTCCCTAAACTCTTTTCAAAAGCTGCTACGAGATGAGCCTGTGAACAAAATGAAAGAAACACATCTTAAAGGTCAGAACCTTATGTGGATGGATGGAAACCCATCACTTTACCAAAATGCTTAATTTCAGGTATTCTTATTCTTTAAGTACTATGACCATCACGACTGGCTTTCAGTGCTGACTTTCCTTTAACACAAATCTTCATCTATTATTTCTAAGCTTCAGCTTAAAAATCAGTGTTTCAGTCCTGACATGCAATGTGAGTTCAACTACTGAAAGGGAATGATATTTTGCAAATAATAACACTTTCTAACTTGCACATCATAGAGGATTTGACACCCACCAGAAAGTTCTGAGTTGCCAAGTGTTTAGACTCAAAGCCCAAAAGGAAGTGACTGCAATAGTCAATGGATGAACGTTCTTCACATTTTATACCTGCACGAGGACCTTTGAAGATAGTTAGCTCCTCTGTTGAAATGATGCTTCCTCCAAGTGTCAGACATCTGCTGACAGCTCTAACATTATCTTTCCTTTTTTCCTACTTACAAAGAATTCAATCAAAAAGAGCTGTCTTCACCCTCCAAACTCTTTTCAATAAAAAGGGCTTTTATTTTTACTTTATTCCCTTCCACCAAGGAAGTGTAGGTAGGCCAATGAGATATAATACTCAGTCTATTAAATTTTATTTAATTTCTTTTATTTAAAAATTTTTTTTCATTTATTTTTATTAGTTTGAGGCTAATTACTTTACAATATTGTAGTGGTTTTTGCCATACATTGACATGAATCAGCCATGGATTTACATGTGTTCCCCATCCCGATCTCCCCTCCCGCCTCCCTCCCCAACCCATCCCTCTGGGTCTTCCCAGTGCACCAGCCCCGAGCACTTGTCTCATGCATCCAACCTGGGCTGGCGATCTGTTTCACCCTAGATAATATACATGTTTAAATTTCTGTGGTTTTCTTTTAAATCTCAGAGAATTATACACAGTGCAGTGCATAACCATAACTCTTATGATTAAGAGATATTTGACAATCTTATTATAGCTCTAAAATAGGCCAGTCTCTCCTGACACACCATTGTGCAACGGCTTGAACCACAGAATACCAAGCATGAAGACACGCTTCAACCTCTCACTGGGGCTCGATGCAGAACCACATATATGTTGTCTCAATTGTGATCGAGTTTTATTGCATCCATAAAAGATTCAGGTATAGAATATTTTACAACTTCCACCTATAATAAACTATGTATGAAGGAAATTTAGTATATGAGAGGTAAAAGAGAAAGGAGTGAGAGGGTGCAATTAAAATAAAGTGCTTTGTAACCCTACCAGAACTGAAAGGCTGAGGTACCTATTATCAAATGGATCACAGGAGTTCTAAGAGTTAGGGCACCAGAAGTTTATTTCATTATGAGTAACAGCCAGAAGCTTATTCCCTTATTGGTAACAGCTAGAATGTATAAGTCCTTTCCATTAACAGGATGATATTAATACAAAAGTATCTTTGTTCCTAGCTCTGAGTCTATCCTGGGATGCCTTTGTTTTTCAGACACTGTAATATATAGAAAAATAATTTGTAGAAAATGCAATTAATCTTCAGTCCACGTGTAAAATTCTGTTTTCTTTCCATCTATCTACAAACCAGAAACAGACTCACAGACATAGAAAACACACATGTTGCCAAGATGAAGGGGTGGGAGGAGGGAAGAGCTGGGAGTATGGAATTAGCAGATGCAAACTATTATATATAGTTGATTATATATAGATGGATAAACAATGAGGTTGTACTGTATAGAAGATGGAACCATATTCAATATCCTTTAATAAATCATAATGGGGAAAATATATAAAATATATAAAAAAGAATGTCTATATGTGTCAAACTGAGTCCCTTTGCGGTACAGCAGAGTCTGGCACAACACGGTAAATCAACTCTACTTAATAAAAAAATGTGAAATATAACCCCAAAAACTCCCATCTATTCTTTTCCCACTCCCTTCTCCCTCTTGCCTCTTTTCTCTCTCTTTCAAACACACACATACACACAACCTTGAGAACGGTACTCCAAGATTTGTTAGCAGGTTTATTTGGATAAATAATCTTTTTTTTTTTAAAGAACAGTATCTTATACTTGAAATTGTTTCCAATGGCAAGGAAGGTCATTACATCAGACTCATTACCCTCAGAAATTGGCATAAGGTTATGTTTCACTTTCTCTTGTACTAACCGTCACATTATGTTAAAAGTGAAAAAAAGGAACATGTACAGCCCACTGGGTTATCACAGTGAACATTCGTGCTTGGCAGCCAAGTCAAGAAACAGGACATTTAAAGATCTGGAAATACTTCCTTGTCCCTTTTTCATCTCTGTCCTTTTTGCCTTCTGCAAAGATAACCACTACTGTGACTGGTGTGATAATTATGTTCTTGCCTCTGTTTTAAAGAGTTTGGCCACCTGAACCTGAATCCCTAAACACTATGTTTTAGCTTGGCCTATTTTTAAACTTTCCAAGTGAAATCACATGGCATGATTTTTTTGGTGACGGTTTTCTTTTGTTTAACACTGTTTTCAGATTCAAACATGTGATGTGCAAGCAGGAGTTAGAAGGTACTGTAAAGCACTGCTCTATCTGATTTAAAATTTATTTGTCTATGGTGACCATTAGAGCTGATTCTAGTTTAAATTGCTAAAAATAATTCTGCTATGAAGATACAATGGGTTACTAAATCCTAACGCTAAAATTGCTTGTTTTCCTTTAAAATAGAAAAGCTTTGTTAATATTCACCAAAAGAAATGCAAGATTCTATACAACATTGAAAAGTTTCAAGTCTCTCAAATAACTGTAAGGTTTAGCTGTTGGACTATAAGTCCTTGAATTTATCATCTTATAGAAAATTAGTTCATTTTACCATCTGAGCAATATATTGCTTATATATGGTAGTTGTCAGTAAAGATAAAATGTTCACCATTAGAACGCCAATTTTTAATCTTTAGAGAACTGCTCCTCATTAATTATTTACAAGAACATATAACTGGCTACAAAAGAGTATTTTAATTTGAGTCATATTGTTCTCAGTGAAAAGTATGTTAAAAGTATGTTTATGAAGTGCTGCTTTAAGTTATATCTCCTTGGTTTAATTTATCACAATAGCTTTGTTACTTTGAATACTATAAAGGGTAAATTTCTCACCAATTAGATTAATAGAAAGGCAGTACAATAAGTAAATAAAGGAAGGAATTTCTACCAGTGATAATCTTTGTCACCTTATTGGAGAGAAAAGAAAATATAAGACCAGATTAAACTACAGGAAAATATATCTTATCTGAAAAGCTTTATAAAATATTGACTTTAAAAAAATTGTGGATTTTTAGGGGGACTGTTAATCATAGTTTACAGGGTTCTGAGTTTTCCCTTAGAAGTTGCATAATTCTCAAATCAGAGTAAAATTGCATTAGTGTATTAAGGGCAGATAGATACAGAAACAGTGAGAGACTTAATTTTCTTGGACTCCAAAATCACTGCAGATGGTGACTGCAGCCATGAAATTAAAAGACGTTTTCTCCTTGGAAGGAAAGCTATGACCAACTTAGACAGTATAATAAAAAGCAGAGACATTACTTTACCAACAAACGCCTGTCTAGTCAAAGCTATGTTTTCTCCTGTAGTCATGTATGGATGTGAGAGTTGGATAATAAAGAAGGCTGAGTGCCAAAGAACTGATGCTTTTAAACTGTGGTGTTGGAGAAGACTCTTGAGAGTCCCTTGGACTGTAAGAAGATCAAACTTTTCAATCATAAACGAAATCAGTTCTGAATATTCATTTGAAGGACTGGTGCTGAAGGTGAAGCACCAATATTTTGGCCAACTGACTCATTGAAAAGACCCTAATGCTGGGAAAGACTGAAGGCAGGAGGAGAAGGGGATGAAAGAGGATGAGATGGTTAGTTAGCATCACCAACTCAATGGATATGAGTTTGAGCAAGCTTCAGTTGGTGATGGACAGGGAAGCCTGGCATGCTGCAGTCCATGGGGTTGCAAAGAGTTAGACATGAATGAGCGACTGAATTGAACTGAACTGATTAATGAATATTTCCTGCTTGTATTAGGTGACGTCTGTCAAGGTAATAAAACAGACAAGACTGAATATTAGTTAAGGGATAAATTTTTAATACATACTGTCTTTAGTTTTTGAATCACATAACATAATCTGAATATACATGTAAAGAATTGTGGTACTAAACAATAAGATGGAATATCATTGTGAAAAATGCCTGCAATTGCATTTGTTCATTCAGAATTCAAAAACATCCCATCAATAAAATAAAAAGTACTCTTTATATAGATGTATATGAGGACAGATAGGTAGGTAGCTAGGTATAGATGATTTTATATACATGACTCTGAAACATCATAAAGATTTCATATATATATATATATATAGAGCAAAGAAACAGGGCACAATCCTAAGCAAAATAAAACCTGAGAAATTTTTGGTTAAAAGACTTATGTGCTGAAAGGCAAAGCACTTTCTTTGGTTACAAGTTCATTCAGCAATATCTTTGAAAGCTAGTAGTAATAACTAGCCTTTGTGCCCATTTCCAGATCATCTAAGGGCTGAAATTTGTAAGAAAATACATTAAGACACAAATAAATGCATCCCACCTGGCTTGGCTTTAAGTTGTGGGCGAGAGGCAACTGGCTGTCTGTCTGATACGACCATTCATTCCTGGGGGCCGTGTGGACTATGGAGCTCCTGTTCAATGGTGGGGTATTGATTCAAAGAAAGCCAGGCAACAGTGCTGGCCAACATTGCTCCTCTCCTTTCTACAGACATCCTAATGGACACATCTCTAAAAAGAGGCTTCCTAGGGCTTTCTCCACTCTGCTCAGAGACCTGCACAAATTGTTGGGTAGGCTCGCATACCTTCCACTGAATGTGGGTTATACTCTGTCAGGTAAATGAGATGAGATAACCAAATATATTTCTGACTTACCAGTGCCCCTTTTAACAAAGGGGAGAAAGACATTTTAGTAGAGAAGCAGATGTTTCCAATTTAAATATTAAAACACAGATTACCGTGTGGACTCCATATAAATATAATAATGCCAGGTCCAAACATCTGATACATCAATTACCAAAAAAAGAAAAACCCCAAATTTAGGAAAAACATTTAAGTCCTGACAGAATTATTCATATATTAAGTAAACTGAATAGGTCTTAAAATGACTACTAAATAAATAATAACAGTTAATGATATTTTCTACAGAACCAAACATTGCAACTTGTATTTATAAATCATGGCTATTACACTTCTATACACCAATGGCCATTATAGTGATCTCATTTAACCACAAAGTAAACTTGTGGTTTGAATAAAATAATAAAAGACATATCTCTACCTCCAAATAGGAAATGTACAAGAGTAAACATTTTTCAACTTATACTGAAGCAATTCTACAGAAATTTTTTTCAGTCTTATAATTAATTTTTATACAAGTATATTAAAATGTATGCATATCTATTACATACATCAACAGATGCTGACTCAGAGGCAATGAAGTAAAGCACACTCTGAATGAAATTCAAATGCAGCATTTCCTAGAACTGAGGAAAAACCAAGTGTTTTCTCAAGTAAATCCTTTGATGACTCATAATGGTGCACTGAATCTAAAGTGACATTTTAAACTAGATGCTGAAGATAATGAGTTCAAGACAATTTGTACCTTATAAATAATTCAAATTTCTGAATGTGTAAAGGAGAAGATTATATCCTTAAAAATACAGATGGATATAAATATAAAGATTCCACCCCTAGTAATTATGAAATTATTAAATGTTTAAAATAGGATTGGCATTAAAATTATTTTATAAACATTGATGAATTCATCCACTTATACAAGTTCTTCGCTACTGCAATAGCTTTAAAGTGAATTTTGATAAACTGTTTTGTAAAAGAGTGGAAGATAATGCATATCTTCATTACCTGAATCTCCTGACTTTTATCTTCTGACAGTTTCAGCAATACATTTATCTGATGGTAAAAAACTTTAACAATGCATATTACCACCAAATAAAAAAAGCACTAAATGGTGAAATAAGATAGAAATTTGCAAGAAACTAAAAACTAGACATCTCTTTTAAAAATTGTGATAGATCTTTAGGTGTTTGATCTTTTAACTTGAAATAATTATAGATTCACAAGAAGTTTCAAAGAGAGTACAGAGGACTCCTGTACCCTGTTACCCAGCTTGCCTCAGTGGTTACATTTTATATAATTATAGTGTAATATCAAAGCCAGAAGTTCATTATTGGCACACACATGCAGATTCACACATGTGAAGAACCACCTTTCATCACCAGCAAGCTCTCCCTAGTTTTATACCTGCTTCTCAGGAGAGAGGTGATCACCATTCCTAAACCCTGGCAATCAATACAATTTTGTCATTCGAGAATGTTGAATAAATGGAATTATATAGCATGTGGCCTTTAAAAGTCAGACTTTTTTCACTCAGCTTAATGCACTTGAGTTCCATTCAAGTTGCTGTGTGTATTAATAGCTATCATCCATGGTATGTATACATGTATCAGAATTTGTTTATCCATGGACCTATTAAGAAAACATTTCTGTTTCCAATTTTTTTACTATTAAACAAAATAAAGATTCTATGTACAGGTTTTTGGGTGGGTCTGAGGTGATTTGAGAATATTTCTAAAATGTATTATGACATAAAAATAGGATAACATACAAAACAGGATTAAGCTCCCACCCATGTGTAAAATATACTACTATTGATAACACAGACGTGGACAGGAGAGGGTGGAGATATCTGGATAATTTTTCCAAGACTAGCACTTTTTAAACAAATTTATGTATTTGGCACCACTTTCTCTAATTTTGTGTTTCTTACTTTTTTTTTCTTTATTGCCCCTTAGGGAGACAATATAGATTTTTCCCCCCCTAATTGCTCCCTTCTTCCATGACCATTTTATTATCACAGATATGCTGGATATCTGTTTATATTCTCTCTGCATATCTCTGCTTTATGCATAAAAGAATACTTCATTTTGTTTTGTTTTTTTTTTTTTTGCTGTAAGAAACTATATTCACGCTTTGAAGGTTATATCAATGCTCAGCTGAGGATACACACTCCATAGTCATAAAAACAAATCAGTGAAAACAGTGTGGCATGCATGACTTGAGAGAAGTGGTAGGTAGCCAATGGCTCACATGTTTTTTAAAATGTTTGTTACCTTTCGAAACAGTGGCACTGAGTTGTCCCCCAGGACCGTCCTCCTATGTTAAACTTGGTTCCTTCCATCGGTTGTGTGTGTGTGTGTGTGTGTGTGTGTGTGTGTAAGCCTTTGCAAGTGTGTACTATATATATACCAGACCACCTGACCTGCCTTTTGAGAAACCTGTATGCAGGTCAGGAAGCAACAGTTAGAACTGGACATGGAAAAACAGACTGGTTCCAAATAAAAGAAGGAGTACGTCAAGGCTGTATATTGCCACTCTGCTTGTTTAACTTATATGCAGAGTACATCATGAGACATGCTGGGCTGGAGGAAGCACAAGCTAGAATCAAGATTACCAGGAGAAATATTAATCACCTCAGATATGCAGATGACACCATCCTTATGGCGGAAAGTGAAGAGGAACTAAAAAGCCTCCTGATGAAAGTGAAAGAGGAGAGTGAAAAAGTTGGCTTAAAGCTTAACATTCAGAAAACTAAGATCATGGCNACGACTCAACAGGCATGAGTTTGAGTAAACTCCAGGAGTCGGTGCTGGATAGGGAGGCCTGGCGTGCTGTGATTCATGGGGTTGCAGAGTCGGACATGACTGAGTGACTGAACTGAACTATATATATGTATGTATTCATGAGTATACAGAAGAACAATGTTGAAAGGACACACAAGAAATCAATAACCATGAATGGAAATGGGAGTCTCAGAGGGAAAAACAAATATATATATATATATATAGTATTAAATGCTTATTTTAATTTCTGTTTTTCTTTTTAATACAATATACATGTACATTTGTCATTTGGTATCCATGGGAGATTAGTTTCAGGACCAAAGTCCATGAATGCTCATGTATTACGTTGGTTGTCGGCATCTGAATTAACATTCAAGAGTTCAACCAACCATGGATGGTGTATGGTTGAGCTCTGAACAACATGGATTTGAACTTGTGGGTCCATTTACATACAGATAATTAATGTGTGAATCCACTTATGTGAGGAGTTTAAAATATCCATGCATAAGTGGACCTGCACAGTTCAAACCTGTGTTGTTTAAGGGTCAACTGTATTACTTTTAAAGTGGAGAAATGGTATAAATTTCACTGTGTAAAAGCCCAAATTCCATTATGTATAGCAGTAATTTACTAATCTAATAACTGAGTATAGAAGTCCATGCAAGAGACATTTACAAAAGAAAATAAAACTCTGACTAAGCATTCAAGACATTTGTATCTTTACTACCCAGGGCATAGGGTCGGTTACTGAGCCTTCCTCATTGCAGACAAACTTCTCTCAAAGTTAAAAAAAGGCAAAATCAATTCCAATACAGTGCCAAGATGAACTCCTTGTGAAGGAACTAACTTACACACTGCGGAAGGAAAATCCCTCTTATTTAAATCATACGCAATGGGCCCGTACCTGCTCACTTTCACTATGCCAAGCTTTGTTGAGATGGAAAAACTCAAGGGAGAACAGAGAGGGGTAAGGCAGTGAACCGGCCAAAGCCACCCGGTGGGTGCAAGCAGCCTGATGCTGAGCAAAGGTGTCAGGACACATGGGAAAGTAGCCGGAGCTTCCTCACCCCTCACTGCTGCGTCGAGCACCACTGTTCCTCAGGCCCACGCACACGCCACACGTCCTCCTGGACGTCCGCGTCTACTCTGAGTGCCCCCTGGCACCCTGAAAGATCTTCAGTAAGTGTCAGTATCACTGGGCGTCTTTATCACCATCATTTTTGCTATCTTCGGCTCCTTAAACTATCAGAAGGCTACCAAGGTTTTTGAGAGAACTACAGCTCATTTACAATATAGCTAAGATACCCAAATTCAAACCAATCTAATTTTTGAGAATTAATTGGATGTTCCATTAATTTTTCAATAAATTGTGCTGAAGAAGGCAGAGTGCATGATTTTTTTATCTTCCATGGTCAATCACTGTGAACCCCTCATTGTCTTCTGGCTTAAGAAAGCCTTATGTATGGGGAATGATACAAATAAGAAATAAGAAAAGAAATAAACTTTCTAGATGTTACCAATGTTCCAAACCTACAAGAAACAAAAAGCCATTTTAACCACATTCTGATTCTTCATCAACTTGGATTTAGATGTTATGATCCAGTGTGCACAGCCCCCTGATTTAGGAACTTAAGTCTGTATCATTTTGGACATCTAATGTTTGTGAGCCTGTTACTAAAATTATCCCATTTACCATATAAACATCTGTTTTAATATGTCAAAAAATTAAAAGTGACTTACATTTGCTGAAAGCTGAGAAGTGAGGGTGGCAACTTTTTCTTGTGATGCAACCAGCTCTCTCCGTAGTTTATGGATTTGCTGAATGTAATTTAAAAAAATCAAATCAATATGGTAGTAGATTTTAACTTAAAACTAAGAATTTAAGCAAACACTATAATTAGTTCATTCTAATACCACTGTATCAGCACCAATTTCTAAAACTTAAAGAAATGTGAAAACTGGCTACCCAGTAACAATTAAATGCCACTTATAAGAAGAAAGGCAAGTGCCTATGTTCACAACTGAAGTTCAAATGGCACATTAAAGGATGCTTATTTGTTCAATTGCCATTTGCTTCAATGCTTATTTGCCATTGCTATTTGAATTCAGAATCAGTTCACTTTGTCTACTGGTCCTTCTACCCCTAGAAATTTATGGTAATAAAAACTTTTCTTTTTAAAAATTAAACACATACATATATTTTCTGGGTCTTTTTCATTTTCTACCCATTTTTGTATGTTTATTTTTATTTCCTATATTTTGGCAAGTACTAATAAGCTGTAGAATATTCCTACAGTCACTGAAAGTTAGCTACAATTCAACATTCAATTCCATACTTGAAAATAATTTTATTGGCTGGGGTTTTCATTACTAACACTTAGAGAAGCCTTCTCAAATATTTATTATGATGTCATTTATTCAGTGAGTTACTATGAGTTCTAAGCAGAATCGCTTTATAGATTATCCGTAGTTTGGAAAAAAAGGGGGAAAAATCAGTAAGACTGTGTAAATGGCTAGATAAACCAACAACAAAAATATGCTAAAATGTTTTCCTTTTTTGGTTAACTCCATATTTAAATAAAAGTGAACCAAAAAAAGGTGAGAGTATGTATCATTTTGAAGTTTCAGTACTTTTCACAGTTTAATCTGCATGTTTCATGATGCCATGAAATATAAACAGTGATTAGTAAGGTTAAAATGTTTACAAGAATCTGAGACTAAAGTTTACAAGTACACTTTTGGTCTCAAGGGATTTTAATTATTTAGATGTCAAACATTCTACCCTGATAATTCTCATTTCTTCAAAAACAAGTTGCTATTGTTGTAGTTGGACTTTCAAAACACTATCTTAGTTTGAAAGAGCATTCTTGATACAGTTCATTAGTGCCTATTTTTTCCTACTCATTAGATTTTTGTAGAGAAGAAATGGTGGTCAATATTCAAAAATTCTAAAAAAGAAATAAATTTTAAACTGGGAATAGAGACAGGGGATATTTATATAATTTCAGCAGATGTGATTCTATTTGACTCCTGTACTTAAAAAAAAAGACACACCCAGATCCAAAGAGAATTTGGGTTCATTCAAATGATGATGACCACAAATAGCTCTAGAGGCATCTATTTTATCCTTGAAACAGTACAAAGTCCAAAGGACATTTCTCAAATTAATATTCTCTATTACATGATTATATTTCCTTTAAAATTAAGAACCCAAGAAACCTGAAACCAATGTAAATCATTAAAGAAAATGATCCACTATGGGTATAAATAATTAAAGTGGAGGTGGATAATAGCTAATATGGCAAATAGATGTGGTACTTGTACGCCTTAGTAGCTACAGATATTACGATCAATGTAGGAAGCTTCGCCATGTCCCCACGATATAAATAGTTTAGGTTTTTCAAAACTGTATTTACTCTTTCGTCTAGCAATTATACAGATAAAAATTAGCATAATTTACACTTTCTCAATACTTTTATTGTAATATAAATAGAAAATAAAATATATTTTATTGTAAATATTGTAAAGTAAAATAGTACAAACTTTAGAAGACTGATAAAACAAAACTTCAAAGGGAAAAGTTACTTTGCAAAGGCTATTGCCAATGCGTTTTTCTCTGCTCAGGGTAAAACCAATCAAATAGTCATTAGCACATCCTGAATAAAGGCCTAATTAAAGTCCCTCTGCTCTGCTTGGAAGGACAACTTTCAAACAAAGGGAAAGAAAAAGAATGTTCTCTCCAGGCTGCAATCTGATCTGTATGTGATTGTAATGAAATACTTGTGAAGTATGTGATTAGAATAACATATTGAACTAGACATCAAGTGATTAGAAGCAGAAAAAGTACTGGGACCAAACAATAGACGGACTAAGATGCTGGCAAACTGCATTGTGGAGGTCTAGTGCCCCAAATTTAATGCTTGCCATAATCCTATGTGCTTAGTCTCACAGCAGTGGGGGAAGAGACCACACATTTATTCATTCATCAAAGATTTTTAAGTGATTACTACTAGAGACAACTGAATAGGTGCGGAGTTAAGACTCCAAGCTAGAATGTGAGAAGAGAGGTTGCTTCTAAAAACTTAAGTTTCATTTTCTTTTAAGATGAAATATCCAAGACTGTTTATCACTGTTTATCACTGCTGGGTCAGCAGTGTTGGAGTTATGGTTTGTATCACAGAGCCCTCTGGTGGTAGAACTACTCATTTCATCCTAAAGGAAATCGAAAATAGCTAAAAATGCTGCTAGATTGTTACCTCTGAATGAGCCTTTTCTTCAGCCTGTAATAGATAAAAGGAAAAATAATTTAACTATAAAGAGTATCAATTCATCTCACAAGTATAAAAGAATTCAATAAATATACTGTGTAATTTAAAATGTTATTTTGGTCTAACACAAGAATAATAAAATATAAGATATTAAATAAATTAATAGTAAAAGTAGGAACTATAGGACTGCAAATGATATTTATTTATATGTAGACAATATTGTATTTTGAAAACATAGGTTATTTGACTGATGGGTACATACTGTGTCTTAAAATCCTTAAAAGTATAGAATTAAAAGATGGTGCTACCCTAAAATCTAGACCACAAATAACAAAAACAAAAGTTATAAAATTATATTTTAAAAAAGGTGAGTGCATAAAAAAGTAATAGATTTTTTTTTCATACAGATTTTAGGAAATTTGTACCCCGTGAAATCAGAGACTTTTAGCCAAGACCTATGAGTTGGAACTTCATTCAGTGATTTAAAAATCATAAAGAATGCCAAATACAGCTAAAGGAAAAACATTTACCTGTACTGACAACCACAGAAAATAAGCTTATTAGTTACTATTTTGTTTACTTTTCCTAATGATCATTAAATAACTTTATTGGGCTGCAAGTCAGCAAAACAGTAAAACACCCAGTGGTGAGGTGGTGATAAAAGTGGTTGGCAAACACAGGCGCTATAGATGCCGGAAATAAGCACTGCTGTAGGGCCTCCAGGGGTGTTTTGGCCTCAGCTGTAGAAAACTCCCAGCTCTGATTTTCTTCTTCTCACTGGGCTGCAAAAATGCCAGACAATGAGTTACATGCGCCATTATACTTGGGAAGCTCCCTCAATCTGAAAAAAGCTGGAGAATGCATAATATTGCTGAACATTACAAGTCTGTTCACTGCCTTGAGCAGCTCCAAAGCTGGAAAACAATCTCTTACCTCCTATCTCTCTTTCTGGGACACTTCTTGATTAACTGGTACAGAACTACCTGAACCACTTTTTAATTATTTCATTTCTCCAGAAAACATAAAATGAAACAAAGTAATATAACTCTCAGGATATTTTTTATGCATAAGCACCTCTTTTAAATAGGGTTTTGTCTTTTATATATTTTCTCTATTGTTAAAAATACGTATAGTTAGTAAGATACCGGGATAGACAGTAACAAGACCGGGAGCTGACTGTGGCTCAGATCATGAACTCCTTATTGGCAAATTCAGACTTAAATTGAAGAAAATAGGGAAAACCACTAGACCATTCAAGTATGACCTAAACCAAATCCCTTATGATTATACAGTGGAAGTGACAAATAGATTCAAGGGATTAGATCTGATAGACAGAGTGCCTGAAGAACTACGGATGGAGGTTTGTGACATTCTACAGGAAGCAGGGATCAAGACCATCCCCATGGAAAAGAAATGCAAAAAGGCAGAATGGCTGTGTGAGGAAGACTTACAAATAGCTGTGAAAAGAAGAGAAGTGAAAAGCAAAGGAGAAAAGGAAAGATATTCACATTTGAATGCAGAGTTCCAAAGAATAGCCAGGAGAGATAAGAAAGCCTTCCTCAGTGATCAGTACAAAGAAACAGAGGAAAACAACAGAATGGGAAAGACTAGAGATCGCTTCAAGAAAATTAGAGATACCAAGGGAACATTTCATGCAAAGATGGGCTCAATAAAGGACAGAAATGGTATGGACCTAACACAAGCAGAAGATATTAAGAAGAGGTGGCAAGAATACACAGAAGAACTGTACAAAAAAGATCTTCATGACCCAGATAATCACAATGGTGTGATCACTCACCTAGAGCCAGACATCCTGGAATGTGAAGTCAAGTGGGCCTTA